TAGAGTTTCAGGCGCAGAAAAGTGTTTCTCAAGGAGATGGAGAGGGGATGGCAGAGCTTTGGTCATGGGGAGCAGATATTCTGCCACTCAACTATGGCCACTTCCGCATTAGAAAGATCAAACTGAACATAAGCTACTGTCTGATCTGTGTTTGACAGTGGTTCTTAGAAAACCTTTCCTTAGATAACCTTTCCCCACTCCTCCACATGCAGCTGCTGATGTGACCTTGGGTCAGTCACAAGTTCTCTCAGAGCTGTTCTCTCAAGGGCAGTTCTCAAGAGAGCTCTCTCAGCCCCACCTATCTCACAGGGTATGTGTTGTGAGGAGGGGAAGGGAGTAGTGAAGGGCGGGGTATAAATCCAATCTCCTCCTCCTCCTCCTCTTCTTCTTCCTGCGACCCCTTTGAACTGGAGATGCCAAGGACAGAACCATCTTCAAAGCATGTGTTCTATCACGGAGCCAAATCAAACAGAGCTTGCAGGGCCCCTTTGTAGATAGCCATCATTGACTGGTGTTCTGAGCCATCTTCAATAACATCCTCTCTCTACTTTTCTTACCACAGGACCTGCTCCTAAAGATGCTCAGCATGACTTTAAAGAGGGATACTCACGGTGTCTCCAAGAGGCCTTCCGGTTCATGTCTCTCCACAAAGTCCAGGCTGAAACCCAAGCCAAGCTCATGAGCCATTTCCAAAGGAACCAACCGTCCACCCGTGAAGCTGTCAGCTCGCATCCTGCCTCGAAGCACTCATCCTGCAAGGGTGCCCACACACTCTGGAGACCCTGGTAGAAGGCGGGAAGCTTGCCGATGGGCATCCATTCCAGAAGGAGGGCTGGGTTCCGATCCAATCACCCAGCCCTGGTCTTCTTCTCTGTAGGGAATATTATTTCCCCGTTGTGTTATTTATTATGGGGGTGGAGTGGAGAGTGTTGGCAGGTCGTTAGGATGTTCTCCAGTAGGTGAAAGTTATGCGCAGCAACAATCCGATCTGGGGAGGGGCATGTAGCTTCATAATGAAGATTATGTGTGCATCTAAGGGCGGGTGTTAACTGTTGTGTTGCAACTGTCAGTATGATTGTCAAATCATGGTGCTGCTAGAGGTTAAGGTAGGAGAGGATTCTCTGGATAACTGTAAAAATGTCTGGCTTTGCTTCCGGGTGGCTCTTCCAAAGTGGACTGCTGACTCCTACGCACAATGATCTTGTCCGCTTGGAAAGGCCACCGGGGTTTTCTTTTTCTTTAAAGAAGGCTCGGCGAAATGCTGTGGGTTTTTACTCGTAAATATTTGTTTCTTAGGAAAATGGTACCTACTTGCTTTATATTAAAGAAAATATCCGACGAGAGACTGGATTTGTCCGGCGTCACACATGTCGACGCTAAGATTGATGCTCTCTATCGGTTTCATTGATCTAATGATCGTTTCCCCTCGCGGGGGGGGGAGTTTCCGTTCGTGATGGATGGCGTGTGTTTTGTCCTGTTGCCAGGATCTTTCTATGGTGTGCATACTATGTATGCCCTTTGTAAGACATTATTTGTAAGAAGAAATAAAAGAAAAATGCTTTACGTCATTTTGTGATCGCTTCGCTTTTGGGGAAGGGTGGGGGTAGAAAGGACACGGTGTTTTAAAACTGTTCCGTTGCTACATAGAAACATAGAACTGGAAGGGACCTCAAACAGGGTTACTGGCTCCGGGTTGGGAAATACCCAGAGCATTTGGGGGTGGAGCTTGAGGAGGGCAGGGTTTGGGGAGGGGAGGGGAGGGACTTCAATGGGGGATAATACCAGAGAATCCACCTTTCAAAGCAGCTATTTTCTCCAGGTGAACAGATGTAATAGCAGGAGATTGCTAGCTACTGCCCTGAGGCAACCCTAACCTCATGGGTAATCTAGTCCAACTCTACGGCACAATGCAGGAAATGTGCAACTACCTCCCATCCGCCCCATTCCCCCAGTGACCCCTGATCTATTCCCAGAGGAAAGTGGAGCTGGAAACAACAAGAGTTTAACATGCCAAAGGCCCCCCCATCTGCCATTTTCTCCAGGGAAATTGTTCCTTGTAGTCTAGGGATCAGCAGAGACCACTGACAGCCAGTTTGGTGTAGTGGTTAAGAGTGCGGACTCTAATCTGGGAGAACCGGGTTTGATCCCCCACTCGTTGACATGCAGCTGCTGGTGTGGCCTTGGGTCAGTCACAAGTTCTCTCAGAGCTGTTCTCTCAAGGGCAGTTCTCTCAAGACCTCTCTGAGCCCCACCTACCTCACAGATTGTCTGTTGTGGGGAGGGGGAAGGAAAGGGGATTGTAAGCCATGCTGAGACTCCTTTGGGTAGTGAAGGGCAAGGCACAAACCCAATGTCTTTTTCTTCTACAACTAGTGACAAAACTCCAGGCTCCACCTGGAGGTCGGCGACCATTGCTGAGAGTAAGAGTGGCTAACTCTGAGCTTGGTGGCCTAATGGCCCACGTGATATAAAGGTAGCTTCCTCTGTTCAACCTTTGACTCTTCAATGTATTGCACTGTAAACTGATGCACAAGGAGGGCCACAGCTTAGTTTTGGTCTCTGGTGAAAGAACTGCCAGAAGGAGGTGTGGCTCTGTCCCTTCCCTCCTGTTATCCTCACAACGGGGGCCTTAGGTTAGGCTGAGAGCAGGTTAGGCTGAGAGACAGTGACCAATGAGCTTTGTGGGCAAGTGGGGATTTGCAAACAGGTTTACATACATGCATATTTTAGGCCAGCACTGTAACCACTACACTAAACCAAAGCTGGAGAATAGAAATGCCTTTTTTCCAAATGACACTTTTGGTGTGTATCTAGCTCGTTCTGATGGGCAGCAGCCCTCCAGGGGTCTCAGGATAAGGCGGTTCCAAACTCCTGCTACTGGAGTTCAAGGGGAGGGGCTGAGGCGCATGTGACAGAGGATGAGCTTTGAATGCCGAAGGGCCCATGTTCAACCCCTGGCATCTCCAGTTAAAAAGAATCCGCAGTAGGTGATGCGACAGACAGAGGTGTGAGAGCCTTCACCAATCAGAGGAGCCAATGCTGATCTTGATGGACGAAGGGTCTAGGCACCTGTGGGTATTCAACTCAACTGGGAACCTTCACCTGCAAAACATGGGCATTGTCATGCAGCTTGATCCAGGGATGGTTGAACACCCCCTCCTCCCCTGCCAGGAGCTCTGCCCCAAAGCTGTTCAACAGCAGCCGTGTTGTGGTATCATGTGCCCTTCATCCATACCTCCCACCAAGATGTTCAGAGGGGCAGTGCTATGGAGTGGTTAGAGTGTCAGATCTGGAAGATCCAGGTTCAGGAAAGTGATTTTTTACAGCATGGAGTTATGAAATTGATTCCATGCTTTCAGTTCTGTGAATCCAATTGCTTAAAGGATTTCTTTTGTTGTTGTTGTTGTTCAGTCGCACAGTCGAGTCCGACTCTTTACGACCCCATGGACCAGATCACTCCAGGCCTTCCTGTCTTCCGCTGTCCTCTGAAGTTTGCTCAATTTCATGTTCGTTGCATTGATGACACTGTCTAACCATCTCATCCTTTGCTGTCCCCGTCTTCTTTGACCTTCAATCTTTCCCAGCATCAGGGTCTTCTCCAGTGAGTGCTCCCTTCTCATTTGGTGGCCAAGGTATTTGAGCTTCAGCTTCAGTATTTGACCTTCTAGGGAACAGTCAGGGTTGATTTCTTTTAGGATTGACTGATTCAATCTCTTTCCAGTCCAAGGGACTCTCAAGAGTCTTCTCCAGCACCATAGTTCAAAAGAATCTATTTTTCGGCGCTCGGCCTTCCTTATGGTCCAACCCTCCCAGCCATACATTTCTTTTTTAAAAAATAGACAAATTCACAGAGGCCAGGTTTATCCAAGGCTATTAGGTGGCTAGCTTAACAGAACTTCCTTGTTCAAAAGTAATATATCTGGGTTTGGGATGCTGGAGAGAGCTGTTTCCTTCATGTCCCGTTTGCGATCATATCAGAGACATCCAGCTGGGCATTATTAGAAACCTAGGGAGAAACCAGCCCAGACTTTTCATCTAATTCGGCAGGGATTTGGCCAAGTGGTTTTGTTGCTTCAAGCAACTGCACCCCATGATCCAACAGATGCATTCCAGGGTTCTTGTCAGTGCCAGGAAGCCCACTTTGCAACCAGAGCCCTTAAAAACAGTTACCTTCAATGGCTTGGGTCGATGTCATCATCGGGCCGGTCTTGAACCTAACAAGGCCCTTCTGAAGACCTTCTGAGGACCCGTTTCAGTAACGGCAGAAAGATTAAAGAGAAAACCACACAGATCGTTGCCATGCTTGAATGGAGAAGAGAGAGAGATTTCTCAAGCGATCCAAGGTTAAAAAAGGGCATCTCACCCAACAGCGCCCACCAAAACCAAAGACCGTGGGGAAGCGGACTCGAAAGAGGAAGGATAATGACAGGATGCCTATTTTGAAGATGTTTTCTTGTTTATTTGTTATAAGTGAAAGTGTGTGCAAGGAAGAAACACTAGGCAGGATTGTCCGAGGGCTGCCGGTCATGTGCCCTGAAGATCCCTAGGCAAGATGCCCCAAAATGGTAAATCAGTTCTTCTAGGGTTGCCAGCTCTGGGTTGGGAAATACCTGGAGATTTGGGGGAGAGAGATTTCTCAAGCGATCCAAGGTTTAAAAAGGGCATCTCACCCAACAGCTCCCACCAAAACCAAAGACAGTGGGGAAACGGACTCGAAAGAGAAAGGATAAGGACAGGATGCCTATTTTGAAGATGTTTTCTTGCTTATTTGTTATAAGTGAAAGTGTGTGCAAGGAAGAAACACTAGGCAGGATTGTCCGAGGGCTGCCGGTCATGTGCCCTGAAGATCCCTAGGCAAGATGCCCCAAAATGGTAAATCAGTTCTTCTAGGGTTGCCAGCTCTGGGTTGGGAAATACCTGGAGATTTGGGGGTGGAGCCTGGGGAGGGCGGGGTTTGGGAAGGGGAGGGACATCTGCAGGGTACCATGCCTTAGAGTCCACTTTTCAAAGTAGCCATTTTCTCCAGGGGAACTGATCTCTGTAGCCTGGAGATCAACTGTACCTCCAGGAGGCCTCCAGGCCCCACCTGGAGGTTGGCAACCCTAGTTCATCTCAGTGGGTTTTTTTGTTTTTTGTTTTTTTTGAAAAGGTAAAGTGCTGCTCCCCGGGTACTATCACCTTGAATTTTGTGACCTGGCGAACCCTAGGAAAAGTGGATTGCTTTTGCGGTTACTGAGTCAAAATATTCGTATACTGCAGTGTGCTGAAAAATTCGCTCCAGGAGCGTTTTCGGCATAAAAAAAAATCTGCGGGGATCCTCCAAGACGAACAGGGTGGCTCGCCGGAAGTCAGCGAGCACAAAGATGATTTAAAAGTGAAGCAGTTTTGTTTTGCAGAAGGGGAAAGGGAAATAAAATGAAAATGGGGATTTCTGAATCAAATCAGCCAGATGGCATCCTCCGCCTCCACAACTACCTCCTGATGTTTACTGGCAAGATTAGGAGTTCCCCTCCCTCTTTTATTTCCTCACAAACAGTTTGGTTGGTCAATGCTGATGGGTGGTATTATTGTCCCTTAAAGCTGACCACAAGTTCAAGGAAGGCAACAGCTGTATTGGAACTGGAGGTTCCATGCGTGGCCCTCTCTACACTCTCCTTTTAATCCATATTCACTGCGGTGTCCTCCAAGCAATTCTGCATTCAAATCGAATTCAACCTTCTTTTAAATCCAGGTTTTGTTCCCATTCTGCACTAAAGTCGAGTTCAATCTTCTTTTTATTCTAGATTTCC